TTGGAAGGCCTTTTGTTCACTGAGTGCAAACAGTCATCATGCTCTGTGTAACGGCTTCCATAGGCTTGAATACAGTATTGATTTGGGTGTGTAAGTTTAAAGGCAGAAACGGGAAAATTGTAAATTGCTCTCCTTAATAAGAAAGGAGTGGCAAATTGAGTGGTCTTGGGGAAAATCTAGGAATGAGAGGTAGTAATAGAGGAGATTTAGAGCAGAGGCTGGCACACTTTTCCTTAAGGGCCAGATAGTAAATATTTTAGGTTTTGTGGTCCATTCAGTCTGTCCTGGCTACTCAACTCTGTCATTAGAACGCAAGAGCGAGTCCTAGATGAAAGCTAAATGGGTGGGCTGTTCCAATAAAGCAGGTGGCTGTAGTTTGCTGACCTCTGGGAGGGTTGAAGGGATAAGATGACAGAGAGAGAGAAAGGGAGAGAGAGAGATTTCCAGACTAGTAGCTGAAATGTGACACTTTGGAAAAGAGACGCGACTTACAGAACATTTTTTTGATGTGGACAGATTCTTTATGATGAAAGCAATAAATTGCTGAATGTTTCCTTGTGGCTGGTGAAGGGTGAACACAGAAGCTGTATCTGGGGCAGCCAACAGAAGTTACTAGCAGAAAGTGATGCCCAGCACAATTCTGGGTGCCCAGGAAACTCTTAGTATAATGTTCAGCTGACTCTGACCAGAATTGACACCACGATCCAAATGGCAGGCGTCTGACTCTGACTCTGGAACACCCTGAGGTTAGTAAGGAAGTTATTTGATTTACAAGCCTCCCTCATCTGTTCATCACAAAACCCCATCAGATGGAAACTCTGCTTCTCCATCAGCACTAACTTTGTCACACATTAGTACATGATTGCTTAGTGAGTATTGGAGAGACGAGAAACGGAAGGAGAGGCAAGACTAAGGCAGATAGCCTTTGGAGTGGGGGACCTAGGTGCCAGGGGAGGGAGGGTCCCCTAATGAATGGCAATGTGATCCAGCAAACATTGGGTCTAATTATTGGGACAGTGTGGGTGTCACACCCTGGCACTGCTTTCTATCATAGTTTCAGGTTAATTTATTGAGAAATCTGTTCCTGAAGAAATAGATCTACATTTTCCCCCTGCAGAAGTAGAAGTTATATCACACTTTTTCTATGGATTCGTTTTATTTGGCTGCTGTGACATCCTATTTTTCTAGTCATGGGACTGTTGACTTGGTTGCTAAGAAAACAGTCCAAAGACACATCAGCCATTTTTAAAGCTAGTTATTTTGATCATGCAGACCTAGCCAGGACCTTTGGTCTCTTTTGTAGTCTTTGGCAAATTATCTCAAGAGACAGTCCTTTCATAATAGTTTATGTTTTAAATAAATATAAATATTTTGTTCCCTAAACAACGGATTGCCTCACCAGGACATGGACTCTTCTTAGAATGTGGCAGGTGGCAGGTGTAATGGCCGTCTGGTTACAGAGGCATTGCTGCACATTCTCTTTCCATTTAAAGTGAGATTTCAGGAAAAAACGTTTGAGGCAAACATGATATGAAAGATAATATCTTTGTTACTCAATGAGCTCATGTAAATTTTGAAGAACATTAAGACCCCAGCAGAGGCATGGAGGCAGAACAACTCACAAAAGGGAAATCAGGAAGATGCAATGAATACAACAACCCCAGCACCAGTTAAAAAATTAATGCTAACTCCCAATGGTTAGTCTCATATGGTGTAAATTGGTACTACTCTTTGGAAAGCAATCGGGCAAAATGCTTTAAGATTCATAAACATGATTGTGTCTATGATCCAAAATTCTCACTTCTGGAAATCTTTCCTAAGAAAATAATCCAAACAGGGGAAAAACCTTATATATTTGAGTGCACTGTGTAAGCAAACTAGAAGTTCAACATTAGCAAAATGACATAGCATATTATCTAATTGATGAACTAATATGCAGCCATCAAAGAACCAGTTACGAAGAACGTGAAAAGCAAAATAAGCAGGATTTAAACGGCACATACAACAGAACACACGTATCACTCCAAAAACTAGCAGGGAATATGCAAAAATCGATTCTTTTCCAGTCTTTGAAGTGATATGGAATTAACAACTTTAAGAGCTTTTTGTTACAGAAAATTTGAAACATATATGGAGGGGGAGAAGGTAATAAACGCTCATAAATCCATCACATAGATTACACAATTACTAATTTTTTGTAATATTGGCTTCATAGATATTTTAAAATTTCCAATAGGCAATGATTTTCTAAAAATGCATCACCCACATGCCTTCACCACAACCAGCAAAGTAAGTAATTTCTTTTGTGTGTGTATCTTTTTTAAAACATTTGACACAATTATAAACTTTAAGAAAGGTTGGAAGAATGATAGAAAGAATTTCTGCATATTCTTATTTTAGAGTCTCCAAATGTTAATGATATATCCCGTTTGTTCTATTCATCTTCCCCTCCACATAAACACACACATACTATTATTTTTTTTAAAACCATTTTCTTAGTTTATTCCAGCTGCTCCAACAAGAATACTGTACTGAGTGGCTTAAACAACAGTTATTTATCATAGTTCTGGAGGCTGGGAAGTCCAAGAACAAGGTGCTGGCAAAATTCAGTGTCTGATGAGAGCTCTCTTCTTGGTTCAGAGAATGACATATTCTTTGCTGTGTCCTCACATGGTGGAAAGGGTGAGGGAGCTCTCTGAGGTCTCTTTTGTAAGAACACTAATCTCATTCATGAGGGCTCCACCCTTGTGACATAATCATCTCCAAATGCCCCACCTCCAAATACCACCACATTGGGGAGAAGGTCTCAGTGTATGAATTTGGGGGGGGTACAAACATTTGATCTAGAGCACCATTTGAGAATAAGTTGCAGATATGAAGCACTTTATCCCTAAATACCACAGAATGTATTTCCTAAAAACAAAGACATTCTTATGCATAACTGGAGTCCGATGATTACAACCAGGAAATTAACATACAATCACGGACATGTGACCTGTGCAACGATTGCCAAGAGACGACTTTTCCCATTTCAAAATTTATTCTACATTTATTAGTTGGCTTTCTGTGGTAAGGAAGAGCTTTTTCTTCCTATTGATTGATTCGTTGATATCAGCATGAACTCATAGATTCTTAATTTATTCAATGAGTTCTTTTCCATTATTCCATTATTTACTTTGGTGTTCTAGTTGTCCCGGATTTGGCCACTGCGAGCCCTGCATGCTGAATTCTGTATCCGTTTGACATAACTCCATAATATTTTGAGTCCTTCTAACTTTCAGGCACAATAGGATGTTCCAGTTCCATCTTGTACTTTCCATACTCCAGCCCTGGAATCAGCTGTTTTGTCAAGGAGAGCTGGCTTCTTTTATTAGGGATGGTATTTAGGCTCCAAGATTTGGGTGCTAGGTGTGCTCAATTTTGAGGGGTGTATCATTGCCTCTTGGTGCTCCCAGTAGACCATGCTAGGAAATATATGTACATATACATTCCCACATCCACCCATACACCTCCCCACGCACATTAGTCTATATATCTGTCTAGATATTACACTGACACACGTATACATAAAATTTACAAAAGTTTACATTGATGCCTCTAATTCCAATTCAACACCACAGATTTCATTTAGGCTTTTCACTTTACATGTTTTAACTCCTGTCTTTAATAATAGACTTAGCTCTCATTATCCATTATATATTTGTTTATTTGTTCAATCAAGTGATTTGAAGTTTGGACACTTTCTGTCCTCTAATTATGTGGAGAGTTTGAGTTTTATGCAGTTTTATCTTCCCTCCTCCTTCCCTCCTTCCCTTCCTTCCTTCCTTCTTTCCTTCCTTCGTTCTTTTTTTCTGTAGATAATGAGGGGAGATTTGGACTTAGTCATTACCATCATCTTGGTTACCAACAATAATGTAGCACTATCTAATACCCCATCTGCATCCAGTTTTCCCTGACTTTTTAAAAAAATGTCTTTTTACGGTTAACTTGTTCTAACCAGGATCCAACTTTCACACTTTTCATTTGATGGTAAGTCTCTTACAGCTGTTTATTATTATCTAGTAATTCATAATAGCACCTCTTTTTCATGTCATTTATTTGTGGAAGAACTGATCATCTCTCCTGTGAATCTTTCACATTCTGGTTTTGGCTGATTTTGTCCTAAAAGTGTCACTGAACATACTTCTCAAGCGCCCAGATTTCCTTTAACCAGCAGTTCGACCCAGATACTTGCTCATGTTCAGGTTCAGTTTTGTTTTGTTTTGAAGGGAATCCTTGCTTGATGGTGCTGTGTTCTTCCCATTGCATCGTATCATAAGGAGTATGGTGTCTGGGGGAACCACTGAGTGATGACTGCTCAGTCCCCACTGGTAGGTGATGTCAGCTTCCGTTATTACGAAGTCCCTGCCAACTTTTCACCTGATGGACCTTCAGCCATTGATGAATATTGTCTAGATTCATTGTCTTGAGGTGGCAAAACTGTGATTTTTCTAATCTCACATGAATGGCCCTTTAATCTCTGCCCTTCACTTTATATAATATTACAATATACTTGTAATTAAAAATATAAATACATAAGAATTAAAGTGTATATCAGTATCAGTAATAAGCTGAAGCCAAATGGTATTATCCACATGAAGGATTTTTAATCTCATTTCCCAGATAGCCTCGTTACCATGCCTCCTGAGAGCACACTGAAGTTTCCAAAGGCTGAGGGGTTTATTTTGGGAATGTGTGTGGCCAGTTAAATCCCTTCATAGGGAAGAAGGGAATTAAAATGCGCACACCCTATCACTCAACAATCCTACATTGGTGTTAGCCCCAGTGAAATTATCTTTCTCAGGGTAATAGCTTTTGTAACCTTAAGACAGAAGTGATTTGGTTTGCCAGTTTAAAGGTAGAAACCAGGAGAGGATTGTAAGGATATTCACTGTAGCAATGTTTGCAATAACAACAAATCATGACAACCTAAATGTGAATGGGGGAAGAAAAAAATTGGAGGTAAACCATACAAACACATGAACAAGATTTAAGGTATCTGAATCAGCAGGGCTAAATCTCAAAACCTTAATGTTGAGTGAAAAAAATCAAGGTACAGAAAACTGAATTTTTATGCCAGTTTTCAAAATAGAAACATACCAAATGACATTATTTATTTTTTATGGATAGATATGTACCTATGTATGTAAGACTATAAGACATGAGTTGAAGGTGATATGAAACTCATAATAAAGGTAGCCACTAAGTTGAGGGGAGGGTAAAGGATCTTAAATTTACCTGACTTGTTTTAACATTGGTAAAAAAAAATATATATATATATATATATATATATATATATATATATATATATATATATATATATAAATATATATATATATGTATAAATAAAAAGTAAGTAATAATACAACAAAGAAAGAAGAAGAAGGAAGTAATACTAACTAACTAACGTACTAACGTTTA